GGGGGGGGGGGGGGGGTGTCTAAAAATCGGAAAAAGTGCCCTACGTAATTAGTGGACGGCCTCAGAGCGGTTGGGTCTTGAAAGTCAAGGTTTCCGGCATAATTTTGAAAATATTCTATCAACATTGTGAAGTGCCTCCGGATAATTTTAACCTATATTTATACCAAGAAGTTTAGATTCGGCCAACCTCTCTTCAAAATACTAACCCTTAATGATGGGACAGGGCTCCTTTTCACAAAGTAGGTACTCAACCCGCTACAACGTAGCGGCGCCACATTGACGTTATCAGTGAAATGTTCAGTTAGAAATGCCCAAGATTCTTCTGGTTAATACGCAATTAGCGAGGGGAAATTTGGCAACATTGAAATGGAGTTACGTTATAACGTGGGGGGACGAATATTCAAAATCGTTCGTGAATTGACAGGCCAAGAAGAAGACATTTAACGGTGATGCCATGGAGCCTCGAAAGTAAAAGTTATTACTTTCGCTGAGAAACCAGTGGAGGGTCTCCATTTGTCATCTCTCTGTGGGGTAGTCAAGGTTCAAACGCGCGCGTTTTAGCTCTTTTTTCCCTTTCATTTTCACGGAAAAAATAGTCGGTCTCGTTTTCCCATTGCAGCAATTGATTCCGTGAATCATTCAATGCCAGGCTCCCTGAACAAAGCACATCTTGCACAGCTGCATCTCGTGAACGTCATACCTGGCGTTTATCTGTCGTGACGTTTTTCAGCTGAAAAATGTCAACACGCGTAACGAGTTCGTCATCTAAATACGGGTCATCAGAATTCGGGTTCGAAATGTGTGTTCTTGGTTCTGAAATTCAAGGATAAACAGGGCGGCCCAGAATTAAGTGCAGAGGTCGCAGAAGCCGGTTTTTCGGGTCGAAAAGGGATTTTATTTTGTAGCACAGTATGGGGTCTCGATTATACTAGATTCGATTATTTGCATTTTCGGACCATCCGCAAATTGTTTCAAGTATTTCTTTTTGAATCTCGAGCAATCGATTTCAAACAAGTTTGAGGTCAGGTGTATGAGATGAAACCTTTTAATGGGCCTGTTGCAAGGTACGGGGATCTGCACATAAATACAAATTTCGCGAGAAAAACGATGGCACGTATAAGAAACCTCGAAATCGTCTCATAAATTCAATAAAAAGCTGTTTTTGGAACCGACCTACTCTAAACGATCGATTTAAGGGGATGATTGTGACGACACTAGGCCCAATCGATTCGACCTGGTTTCTTCATCTTGTCGATGTATCTTCCCATAAGGGTTTGGGTACCGATTTTTAAAAGGAAATATCGAGGCATCCGGTAGTCCATCGACGAAAATGGATGGCAGAAATGAAATCCTCGTACATTCAAATGGTATTTCCAACTATTCGGGAGTTGGTAACCGACTAAATATACCCAATTTTTAAGAAAAACCGCTGCATTTCGCTATCGCGCTTGCGGTTGGTTTTGTAGCACGTAACCTGAACCCAAACCTTCGCGATAGCGGAATGGCTGCGCATGACGAAAATGGTATAAACAATGGTAGTTTTTCTTAAAAATTGGGTTTATTCAGTCGGTTACCAACTCCCGAATAGTTAGAAATACCATTTGAATATTCGAGGATTTCATTTCTGCCATCCATTTTCGTCGATGGATTACCGGATGTCTCGATATTTCCTTCTGAAAATCCGTATCCAAACCCTTATGAAAACATACATCGACAAGATGAAGAAACCAGGTCGAACGGGTCTCGTGTCGTACAATCATCCCTTGGCTGTTCCCGCCCTAAAACGAGCGTTTTGGATTTTTAAATTTTGGGGCGTTTTCAAGTGAATTTTTTGGACGTTTCAAACTCTCAAATAATTCTGGGAAAATTACTGAGACATCAGGGGATCTTAGTTCTATGATTAATGGTATAAAAACATTTTGTGCAAAAGGCCTATCATCTTGCGCACACCTTCACGTGAGAGAACTACGAAGTATTCACTTAAGGTCTCAATGCGGCCAAGCAGGGTCGGATTAAGGGGGTGGCCACATGGGCCACGGCCCATGGCGGCAAATGTACAGGGGGCGGCAAATTTTGCAATTTTTTTTAAATG